CGAAACGCAAGAGTAGACCATTAAAGGTTTTAAGATAAGTAAGATTTTTGTAAAAAACGAGTTTTATTTTTATTTATGACATAACATTACTATATTAACATTTTGTTCATTGGCGTTTAAAAGCGTTCAAAAACATAAGTTGTTTAACTTTTGTAGTTGTTAACCGTTGAAATGGAAAAAAACTGCTTATTTTTTAACGTTAAAACGTACTTTTAAAAAGCGTGCTTGTAAAAGCGCTTTTCACTTATACGCTTTTTAGTTTGACGCTTAAAAAGTCGTTTAGGAAAACGTTTAAGCGCGTAGACTTTATGTTTAAAAAAGCTTGCAACGTTATGTTGGATTAATTTGTTTAGGAAACATAGATGGCGTTACTTGAAACTTAGGCACGTTGTAAGAAATGAAATTGTTGAGTATCTATAGAACTGACCAATGACCAACGCTGACGCTTAAAATGAAAAGCGTACTTATGCACTTATTTTAAAAAACAGACTTTTAAAGTGCTTTTCGTTTAAACGCCCACCTCTAATTGGAAAGCTTAACGTACCAGAGACCATACCAATTACCAGAATCTGTTCAACGGTCTCACAGACAAAATCTATTATTATTTCAGTTTCAACTACAGGTGGTCTCTTTAAAAATATATGAGTAGGTATTGTACTGCTTTTTAATTAACGCAGTATTATACTTAGCGTATAAAATTATGAACGCAATCATAAAAATATAAGACAATTTTCTTTGAACATAAATTATGAGTCTTAAGTTCGTAATTAAATTTCTCTGTTTTTAAATGAAAAACTCTCTTCATTCAAAGGGGATTTTACTACTGTTGTACTTAAGAACAAAGCGTCGGTGGTTTGTAAAAAGGGAGTAAGCGACATTTCGAAAAAAAAGTCAGTGGAGCCTGTTTCAGTTTTGAACGACTGTTTTTAAATATTCAAGTATTGTTTAAAATTCAATTTAGAGTTTCATGAAGTTTTAAAATTTATTTTAAAACAGGGCGTAAATATTTTAAAACAGTCATGAAAACGTAAAACAGGCTCCCCTTAAAAAAATTTCGAAATGTCGCTCACGCCCTTTTACAAAACACTGACGAAAGGAACTTATAATACTTAGTAATTAGTGCCCTTGTTATATCACATGAAAGTCACAAAAACAAGAGGAAGTTCATAAAATTATGTAATACTTGAAATTTCGTTACTGTCCTGTTTAACAATTTTTATTTACTTATTTATTTATTTCCAAACTTAATATAATCGACCAGCAAATATACTACATGTAACATAAGCTGTAAAGCGCTATCTTTGTGAATTTACTCAGAGAACAAGCAATGCAAAACAATACAAAATGCTTTATTTCTCAGAAAAGTCAATAAGTAGTTACATGTCATGTATAAACAACAAGTTACTTAGTGAAAGCTGGAGTCTGTTCTAGGTTGGGGACCTGTGTTGCAGATACAATGGAACACATTGATGCTATTCGATACTTCGTTCAGGATGAGCAACGTTGGCGTCAGCGGACATTCCGCCAAGAGATTGGTTCTCTTCTCCCTCTTTCAGTAGCAATAGAGCGCCGTGTGAAAGATTTCGTCCAGGGAAGTACTGCCACCTTGCCTATTTCTGCCGCCAAGCAGTAATGCGAGCATTACTGTGTTCCGGTTTGGGTAAGACGGGTGCTGCTGAAATTACGGGTACATGCGACTTGACAACTTATGTGTCATGGTGAAGGGCGCAGTGGCAGTGTCCCTAAGATATTGGCGATTTAAAGCTCTGAGTGGCATTACAAGTGTTATTGATGGGCGTGACGCTTACCACTAGGCGTCCCGATTCTTGATGCCAGGACGCACTTATTAGATAGTAGAAGAAAAACTAAAAAGTTTATTTTTGGCTTATTATGCTTTATAAAAAGTTACAAAACAAAAGTTGAATGTCAGAAAGTTTCACCAGCATGATATTATTTTTTGTGAAATTACTCCACTAGTTTGTTATAATTATTAATACAAAGACCGGACACTTAGAAAAAATTCTTTCGATCCGGCCGGATTCGAACCGACAGACGTCTCCTACTAAACCGTTCCAGACGCTATGCCAACCCGCTATCGCCGCGCGGCGACCGCCCAGTTACCACGTCTTCATATACATTAATGGCGAATCTGAATTCTATTTACTAGGCAACATTTAAGTTCCTCGGAATAATAAAGACAAGACAGTCTCGCTCGCGCACCCGAGACGCTCATTTAAATTAAAACGTAAAAGCTAAATGAATAGAGCGTATTTTGCCATGACAGATAGACACACGTGGTCGCGGCGCGTCGGCAACACGGCATCCGCTCTGGGACCGCGCGGCAGCGCGGTGTGAGGGCGATGAAATTTATCGGTCACATTAAAACAGTGCACATTAAAACTAGCGGGAAACATCTACGCTTATTTACAAAATTAGGACCATGCCCGATCAATTTTTTAAAAGAACTTTGTAGTACAGATGTTTGTTAAATTACGGATAAGGCATAAGGTGCACTTTTATAAAGAATTTTGTGTCTGTGTAACTGGGGTCGTGGGCACGTCTTGATTCTTTAGGGTCGTATTCCAGAACTCTACTCAATACTCTACTACTACTACTACTCTGAGTAGAGTTTTGGAGAGTAGAACTCTACTCAATGCTCAAGTCAGGATTTGAGCAGACTTGAGTATGATTTCAAGCACTGGAAATACGACCCTAATGGCAAGGACTTGAGTATGATTTCTAGTGCTTTAAATCATAATCATGTCATGACTTGAGCAATGAGTAGAGTTCTAATACGACCCTAAGGCTGCTATACTCTAGCCAAATGCGATGTGGAATAAATATCAATAAACAAAAACACATGATTTTTAGGGTTTTCACCCCAGACTATTTTACTCGTTTCCAGTAGTTCTATGTACAACAATTGTAACCTTAACATTGTCATAATTATTCCCATTAGTTTCATGTAATTTTAAACTAAAAGTCAGGTGTAAAATACACCTGACTCTTCTTCCTAATCAGATCTTTAAAAGTTTATTAGCCCCATTTCCAAGATGGACTAATATTTTAAAGAGTCTACAAATGCAGAACACGCGATAACAAAACACTGTTGTATATTTACTTCTTTATTCTCTTATCACAATTTCAATATTTTCCTCCGAAATTCGATGAGACTATTGATAAAAGTAATATTAATTTTGAAGTCATGTCTATGATGAATTTTGTACAATAAAATTCTGTAACATAAAAACTACCGACGATGAATTATTTATAAAACTGTGACATCCTTAATGCTTTTTTATTTGAAGGGAGAGATTGCAAACATTCGAGTTCGATTAATAATTCAAGTTCAGAATCGAAAATTGATGGTGGACGAGATATGTAGTAAATGAATATAAAATAAAATCGTATAATTTTGTTTCTTATTATATGAAGAGACCAGAAAAAGAATGATCAAAGTTACTTGAGAAGAATTTTAGGAAAAAATAATTAAAATATTGGTGAAAAAGACACGCACAAATACTACCTGAAATGAAGTCAAAGTAAAAAAAAAATGGATGTAACGCTAAGTAATCCATTTTAACTAAAAAAACATTTATAAAAAATGTTTAACTTTTCTACCGTTTAGACGCAAGCATTTTTATAACTAAAAGTAAAAGCTAATTTTTCAGAACATTGAACCTCATTACCCTTTTTCTGATTTAGGCAAAATACGCTCAGCGTTTACAGAACTGGATGGATGGCGGTACTAACTGAAAACGTGTATTATTAAGTGGCTTTGATCATGCTTTCCCTGGGCTCTTCATATAGGTGCCATTACCTACTATCTAGCAGTATGTATTAGTAGATATCAAAAACTTAATTATTTTATTCTTAATTATTTTTCTGTTCCACCTATTACACTAGATGGTGCTCCGCTCAAGCAAGTGAAGCAGTTTAAATACCTGGGTCACTGGGTGACTGATGCGCTCACAGATAACTTAGAGCTGGATAGGGAGCGCAGGGCATTGACGGTAAGGTGCACTATGTTGGCTCGCAAGTTTGCATGGTGTAAGAATGAGGTCAAATTAACTCTTTTTAAGGCCTACAGCCAGACACTGTACACCTGCGGCTTATGGGTTAATTATACGCAGAAATCCTTCAATGCCCTGAAGGTCCAGTATAATAACACCTTTAGAATGCTGTTGCGGCTGCTAGTAGTGCCTGTTTACGGATGCGCGTACCGACGGTTTTGACGCAGTTGTACGGAAACGCATTTCGTCGATCATGAGCAGGATGCTTGGCAGCGGTAACAGCCTTCTGAATACCATATCGGAGGATGTAGCGTGTCTGATATTGTGCCATTGGACCAGAATTCATGTAACCAAGAAGGGCTGGTGACATGAATTCTAATTCCGCATCCCTATTGTTAATTTCTATTATTTATTTGTAAGTGTTTCTATTTTAGTTATTTTATTAAGTGTAATTTACTAACATAGTCCTAAGTTTTTGATTGTCACTAACAAAATGGATCAATGATCTTAAATAAACTATTATCATTTTTTTTTTATTCATAAATCAGAGGCCCACTTTATAATCTACTATAACTGATAATTGAACTGAATTTACAATTTGATGCGGTTCGTAATTTGATTTCGTTTGCATCGTATTGTGGATTTAATTTAATTTCATGTAAGGGCGCGTTCCCACTATTTCGTGATGACAGATTGTCGTGCAGCTTACAGTGTCGTGGCTTGTATATTTAAATGAAGTTGTTCACATATAGCACGACACGATTAACTGTCGTTCACGATTTTTTATCGTTACAACGACAAACTGTCGTCGCAGTGGGAACAGCTAGAACGACAGTCGTCAGACGATAAAAACGTGACGACAGATTGTCGCAGCTCCTATTGTCGTCACGTTTTATTTATCGCTGTCCGCACGTATTCTGCTCTCTGCCCTCCCCTCTCGTACCCCGCGCCCTCTGCTCGCTTTGCAGTAGCGTTGGATCGTAGCCAGAGAAAGGCAAGGAGGCTGTCGTGAAACGATAAATTGTCGTCACGATGTAGTGGGAACAGCTAGACACGACAGTCGTCTAACGATAATAAAACGTGACGACATAGTGGGAACGCGCCGGGAACGCGCCCTTATAATTTTTATTACTCACATAGGTTATAAATTTACCTTTTTGTAACTAACGTATGAACATGGTCTGAAACAAAAAGCTTGTCAATGTTAATCTCAATTTTACTTTATATTTTGTCCAAAGTTATTGATTCAACAATTTCAATGTTATGCGGAGTCAAGTAAAGCCATTAGAGGTAGTGTAGACTCTTAACGAAGCGCATCTTTGTTGTTGTTATTGTTTCGTAAAGAGGTGAAATGAGTCTATAGTGAGAGAGAGACAGAGAGAGAGACAGAGAGAGAGAGAGAGAGAGAGAGAGAGAGAGAGAGAGAGAGAGAGAGAGAGAGAGAGAGAGAGAGAGAGAGAGAGAGAGAGAGACATGCTCGCCAGAAGATTCGCGAAATTTACTAAAGAGCTAGCATTGCTTCCTTTTGGGACAGATGGCGGTGTTCTGAGAACGATATAAATATAATAATAGGTGTTCGTAAATGTGTAAACATCCTTAAAACATAACTTTTTCAATAATCTGCGCTCGGACAATATGTAGGTAGTTTTATAATAAGTCGCCGGATCGCAATATAATCTCACCTGCAATATTTTCTTATATTGGTTCGGGAGACCGCCCGCCAGAACGCTCTCGACTTCGGGCTTGACAGAGTGATATTTTATGTGCATTCCCTCTCATTCATCCATCATTTTTATTATTGACTGTTTGGTGTCGTGTTGGTGTCTACTGGTGACTGATTGTGACGGTGGACCTTTGGAGCTCCAAAAAGTAGGCAACGAATAGCGGTGACGTCATTCACCATATCATACCGGAGGAGCCGAATACAAGGAGATTAAAGGTAGGTTTAAGGGTTTTATATGGTCATCCGAGATCAAAAATATTGCTATTTACGTTTTGTCCGACCAGCTAAAATTACAGTCCACTTTTCGTTTATTCTTATTACAAATTACAATTTCGTTAACATTGTTTGGTCCTTCGAGCCGGATATTTTGATTCGTTTTATACGGAATTTCAAAAATAGTAATTTCCCACAGTAAAATTACCGTTACGATCAGTTACATAGCATTTTCGAATGACGCCATTTTAAATTTGACATTCCTATATTTCTACCTTGTTAGATTTCCTTTCCGTTGCATTTTAAATAATTTCGATATTCATACGTAATTAGGTATTTGTCTGTGACAGTGAAAACCGTTTTAATTTTATTCGTAACCGTAAGAAACCGTTATAGAAGTCGACATTCGGTTAATATCTATTTAACGGACTCGGTAATTTCGATATTTGTAAAATAATTCGTATAAATTTTCGTACTACGTTATTGTTATAAGGTCATATCATTCGTTTGCGACCTATTAACTGTATCGTGTTAACAATAGGGGTTAAAGTATGAAATTGCCGATTTGTACTGAAAATCTAAA